TGACATGTAAAAAGGTATAGTCTTACACTGTACAATGCCCTGGTTTGTTTGCTTGTTTATTTTGTAGTAACAGGGATTGAACTAAGGACTTTGCATTTGCCAGGCAAGCGCTTATTCTACTGAGCTGTCTCCCCAGCCCCCTTAAAGGATCTATAATGTCCATTAGTATGGTTTCTCTGCCAGAAATCCAAGTTTCTTAGAAAACTAAAATATGTGGAGTTTATTGAACAGTATTTTCAGGAAGCAGATTATACCAAGTCCAGTTAATGTGGGTTCCATACCTGCTGGTGCGACCTCAGGATGCTCCCGTGCCGCACTGGCAAGCGTGTGATAAAAGTGGCTCCCCAGTTCCTCGATAGCGTCTTCTGAACTTGTTCACATCTTGTTCTGCAGAATCTCAGCTCCTTCTCTTATCTCAAACTTTTGATATTTCAGACCCTTTTTAAAAAAGTCTTAAATCCTCCAGAAACTTTATTATTATTATTATTTTTTTGGCTGGGGGACCAGGTCTCATTGTGTAGCTCAGGCTGGTCTGGAACTCACAGTGTTCCTCCTGCCTCAATCTCCTGCGTGCTTGGATTACAGGTATGCACCACCGTGCCCAGCCAGGAACCTGTATTTTTTATATTTATACTATTTCTATCTTGGAACCTTTAGTACTTTATAGTGGGGAGGAGAGTTCTTACTCTCTTAAAGGGTTATGGGTGTAAAGCTCCAAAGAATGAAAATTTGAGTATTTGGTGGGTAGAAGTAAAAGATCCAGCAGTGTATCCAGAAAGAATTGGAAAGAAAGCCCCCTCAAGCACATGGAGTAAGCAGACAACCTAATTTCTTGTACTTTTGCTCATCCTTGTGCTGGTCTGTGCCCATGTGAGTTAGACAGCTGTGCTTACACTAATGAGGACTTAGTTCACTTTTACTTACTGTGAAGGGATACCTTTTCTTAGTCTTTCTTATGCAACTAGAGAGCACATTCAAGATTAGAATTGTACATTTGTTTCCCCCCATCTTTAAAAACTAGCCAGGGAGATGGCTCAGTAGAATAAGTGCTTGCCTGGTAAGCACAAGGGCCTGAGTTCAATCCCTGGTTCCACCAAAAAAAAAAAAAAAAAAAAAAAAAACTAATGCTAGGCATGGTGGTACACACTTGTAATCTCAGCACTCGGGAGGCTGAGGCAGGAGGATCTTTGTGAATTTGAGGTTAGCCTGGGCAACATAGTAAGTCTAGGCCAGCCTGAACTACATAGGAAAACCCTGTGTCAAAAAACAAATTAAGGAGGGGGCTGGGGAGATAGCTCAGTAGAATAAATGCTTGCCTTGCAAGCACAAGGGCCTGAGTTCAATCCCTGGTCCCGAAAAAAAAACAAAAAAAAAACAAATTAAGGACTGGTGAGATGGCTCAGTGGTCTAAAGCACCTACTTAGAGCAAGCTAAGCTAAGCAAA